TCTCCGGGAAAAGGGATTCTGTTTACCAAGCATGGACATCTGAAACTCGAAGCCTATACTGATGCTGACTGGGCTGGAAATATTGATGACAGAAGATCCACTTTAGGGTATCGCAGTCTGGTGGCTAGTAATGTTGTCTCTTGGAGGAGCAAGAAACAATCAGTTATGGCCCGATCCTCAGTAGAAGCAGAATACAGGGCCATGGCATATGGAGTCTCTGAACTGTTGTGGCTAAGGTCATTGATGGAAGAACTTGGGATTGATTATGACAAGCCAATGATGTTGTACTGTGATAATCAGGCTGCCATCAACATTGCCCACAACCCCGTACAACATGATAGAACTAWACATATTGAGGTTGATAGACACTTTATTCGAGAAAGAGTCTCTTCAGGTGAAGTGTGYCTTCCATTCATTACCTCTGAAGGACAATTGGCAGATTTCCTCACCAAAGGACTTCCCAAGGCAAGGCTTCAGCATGACACTGGCAAGCTGGCAAGCTGGGCATGATTGACATCTATGCTCAGCTTGAGGGGGAGTGTAGAGAAGATGGGCCGAGTGGCCCATAGGCTGTTACTGTATATTATCTTTATATTCTTCTCTGTAATGGGTCTTATTCTGGACCCATACTCTTCTATGTTCATTTTTTTGTAATTTCTTGTCCAACTAAGGACCTCTCTTGTAATTACTAAAAGATTAACTTAATAAAAGAGTGTTAGAGTGTTAGAGGGAGGTTAAGTTCGAACTCCTCATCCTCTAACTCTCCTTGCCGCAGCTGTCTCTCTCTCTCTCTCCATCTCTAATCTTCTCTTGTTAGTTTTTCTGGTTTTCTAGCACACAACTGTTTGTGTGCTTTGTCAGAATCATATTGAGTCAATCAACCATCTGCTACTTCATTGTGGTTTCTCCTGTGAAGTTTGGAATAAGGTCAGGAACTTGTATGAGGTGAACAATTGTTGCCCTGAATCAGTAGCAGATTTTGTGAGGAACTTGTATGGCTTGGAACCTGACTCCTGCTGCAGTTTTCTGGTGCATCTGGCAGGAGAGGAATGCAAGGATCTTCAAGAACCAACACAATTCTTCAGACACTGTTTCAGAAAGTTGTGGGAATCTTTTTGTAAGTCAGGGTTTGGGGGTATAGTTCTGCTGGTTGCAGTTTTTGTAAATCCCTGTGTACAGCTCCTTATTGTCATGTTTTTTGTCTTAATGAAATTTTCACATTACCTGTTTCAAAAAAAAAAAAAAAAATCCCCATCCCTGTCCCTGCAGGGGTAAAAATCATCCCCATCCCTGCCCCATTCAGGGTGGGTCCCCGTGGGGATTGGGGAAATGGGGAAAATAATAGTTGAAGGGGATTAAACTGGTGGCTCCTTGAGGGCAGAGAACTGTTAGCTTTAGTGCAAGGCATTAAACTATAATAGTTGAAGGGGATTGCCAATTTGTGATTAGATAGATGAATTCTCAGGATCAAGCTCCTTGGCAATTTAGAACGCCGGTGAGGTTAGCTCTTTCCTTGGGTACCAGATTGAACATCTCATTCATTTGGGTGCCCAGGAGTGCAAATATGATAGCTGCTTCTTTGGCTGGGATGGTGGTAGGAAAGGATTATTTGGATTGGGGTTGCCCAGGCCCGGACTGTAACTTGTAAGTTTTTCCCTATTTTTTCTTTGGTTATATCTGTTGTATTTATTGGGATGTAGAGGATGTGTTGTACTTGGTCCACCCGCTGTGTCAAGCTGGGTGGTTTTCTCTTTCCATTAATGAAATTTATTTCTGATGCTTATAAATAAATAAATAAAATAACCTCTCTTCTTTACCTTCATTTTTCTTTCATTTAAATACTTTGTTTGCCAATATTGATTCTTTTTGCATCAATAATGCTATAAACTTGGCTATTCCTTTGGCTGTAATTTGGGCTATTTGGGGTGAAAGGAACATGAAGATCTTTGATAAAAAACAGAATGAAGAAGAGGTGCTGATTAATCAAATAATTGGAAACCTTAGAGGATGGCTGAGTATTAACCTGCACTTCAAGGATGATCTTCTATCTTCTATTTTGGCTGTTGGCTTTTTTGGGGGATCTTAATGCTGTTCATATGTACAGAATCCTTTTGTACATTGAACTAACATACTTGTGTACTTCTTTTTGGACATGTTGTTTCTTAATTGTTCAACACTCTGCTCCATACAACATAAATGGCCTTACAACTGTTTTATAGAATTTTCGTTTTAATTCTATGAGTGATTATTGAACCAAAGTAACAGAAGAGGTCATAAAATTGTAAATCTTATAAGAAGCACAAAATTCAGATTTTGTTCTAGTGGAGTTTAATGTGTCACACCTTAGAAAAATTTGGGAAAATGACTAGCAGGGGGAGAGTTCATAGATGGTGCACATTTGTGCTAAGCTCTTTTGTAATTGCTTGCTTTTTCTCTTGCTAACGCTCACTGCTTTGATGTTCTGGTCTTTTTTAGGTTGTGTTTGGTAGCATTGCTGTTCCAGTGTTTATACTTGGAAAAGTTTTGGGTTGATCAATACAAATCGGCATACAGCTGTTATTTGAGGCTTAGTTGAAACTGGCATATCTTAAAAAGGCATGTGTAGGAGGCTATTTGTAAAAATGTCAAATTGAAGTTTCTTCCAGGGGTGGGGTAGTATAATCATTCTAGCTGAAGTGAGCATCATATGTGATGTAACAACACATATTTCTCATCTCATCAATAAAGGTAGAAACAGCAATGGTGCCAAATACAACCTTTAGCGGGGGGGGTTAAGCAGCAATGGTACCAAACACAACCTGTGACCATCATATGTGATGTAACAAAACATATCTCTCATCAATAAAGGTAGAGACAATGCTACAGGGGGAGTATATTCATTCTAGCTGAAGTAACCACCATCATATGTGATGTAACAACACATTTCTCATCAATAAAGGTAGAAACAGCAATGGTACCAAATACAACCTTTGGGGGGGGGGAGTGTAATCATTCTAGCTGAAGCAACCATCATATGTAATGTTGAGTCATGTGACAACCCATATCTCTCGTCAATAAAGGTAGAAACAGCAATGGTACCAAACACAACCTTTGGGGTGGGGTGGGGGGTGAAGTATAATCATTCTAGCTGAAGTGACCATCTTATGTGATGTGAATCATGTGACCACATATCTCTCATCAATTAAGGTAGAAACAATGGTACCGAACACAACCTCCGGAGGTGGGGAGGAGTATGATCATTTTAGCTGAAGTAACCACCATCATATGTGATATGACAACACATAGGTAGAAACAGTGATGGTACCAAACACAACCTTGGCTAGCATTGAATTAAAATAAGCTAAGGCTTGAACTCGCATGACTCTGCAGTTCTTTTGTGGCCATGAATTTTAGGTTCCATAACATGTTTGTAGTTTGCATTCGTCACCATCATCTTATCCTCTGGTGAAAAAAAATAAAGGTAAAAGAAAAAAAAAAGAAACGAGTTAGAGACCTGCTGAATGATTATGTTTTCAGTTTTCTGGCCTTCTGGGTCTTACGTGGATTTATTTTTTAGGCTTTGGATATACTAAGATACATATCGTTTGGTTAAAAGCTTAAAATCTTATTATGTGCTTAATGTTTTCAGTTTCAAAGTGCAATGTACTGATGAACCGGAATGATGGAAGACAATGCCATCTCTTGGGCAGAATTTGTACGTAGCATAATTTCTCCCTATGGGTAATTCGGTAAGAAGGACTACTCTGCTTAATATGTAAAGTATATTTTGTGGTTATGGAGGCATGAACATCTGTGCACAATTATAAATATCTTGTGTTTTGAGTGGCTTCTCTTCTGCAACCTGCGTATATCTATTGTTCATCTCTTGGAATTTACTTGTAGGGTGTTGATATGGTAATATTCTCATTTAGATAAACTGTGGAAATCAGCATTAAAAATGTTTAAGATATCGTTACCATCACACAAGTACTGAGATGAGGGAAAATCTATGCTCTGCCGGAAAGGCATCATACCGAAAGGGTTTTGACCAATTAAAACCCTTGCCCCTGTGAGTTTTGATAATACCAGTATACCACCACCTAATTGGTTACCACTTTTTTGATACCCTTTAATTGTTTAAAGTTTTTCGGGTTTTATACGTGTCAGGTATACCCGAGAGAGAGATGTCAGTTTTTATTGTGATAAAAACAGGGCACTTGTCCCTTTAAGATGCTAGCAGGGGCTAGGAATTGAAAGTAATTGAAACCTTTGTTATGCAAGTTGCTAAAGCAACAGATCCCGCAGCCATGCCAATTTGTTCAATCTCTACAACTCAAAACATGGGCTGTTGTCCCTATTTTTTCTCTTTCCTGTATTTAGTAAAGGATTTGGTCCGCTGAAAATGAATTAGGTACCTAGTAGTATGATCCAGTTCAATGAAACATTATACACACTTTTTTTTTCCTTTTTTGCTAAGTTTATACAATTACTTTCAATTCCCTCCCAAGGATGTCTCGGTGACTGGAGATGCATGCATATATGATACACCGATGCTTTTCCATCTATCAAAAAAAATATGATATACCAATGCACAGTTTTTGAAATTTAAAAGTTTGGGATGATAAAAGACATCTCTCTATTGCTGATAATTTTTAAAAAACTGAAACAAAAAAGTGGAGCATTGACACGCATTATCAATATTGGGTATATTGATATTTTGATCTTTGCCCCTTGCACAATTATTCACAGGCGGGATGGTTTCTACCTTTACCAAGCTCGCCTTGCATGGATCTGTTACACAATTTAATTGGGCTTTTAAATTTTTCGGGCCGGGATTGGGCCTAACCCTTGGAAAGCCCAAGCCTGTTCCAACCTGCCTGCCCCGTCTACATATGTATATGTAGACACATTTGCACTCGTACATGCACATATATATATAGATACGAGGGTGGTTCAGCAGTGGGATTTGATTTCACTACATCCCAAAGTTTCTTGATACGAGGGTGCATACTTATTGTGGGGACAGTAAAATTTCAAATATTACCCTTCACTAAGAACACGTAGAAGGTGTAAACCGACTTCGTTTTATTTTCTTTGTTTTTCTCTTTCTTTTTAATTTTAGAGAACTGCAATCTGGGTTTTTCTCTGTTTTCTTTTTTAACACGTGGAAGGCTTTTCTCTGTTTTCTATCCCTATCGGTATTCTGGGATTTGCATGCATTGCAAATGAAATATGTTGAAAAATGAAAATTGGATGCACTACAATTCCCAAATAAAATGTTAAAATTTCATGTTATCTTTTTACAGTTTTATAGACCAAAAATGAAAAGGTTAATTAGGCGAAAATGTTCTTTTACAAAAAAAGAAAAAAGAAATCTTCAGCCAAGTCCAAACTTCAAGTGTTTAGGTCCCTGATGGAGAACTCATCTCCATTAAGGATCGGAGATGAAGGTTAACTTTTCTCCCCAATGAAGATTGGGATTGGGGATGAAAAATATGATCCTCACCCCAAACTACTCTGTTATGACTAAGTTGATGTTATGATAATGTCTGCCCTCATTAATCAAAGATCCTAAATGTGGTTGCATGATTATTATTGAAAGCCTAAGGTGAAGATTAATCATGGCACAAACAAACTATTGGATATGTTTGTTTGCTGTGAATCTTTTTTTTTTTTTGGTAGAATGCTGCGAATCTTTGGAGGGGTGGAGAGAATTATACATTTGAATTCTTTAGAAAATTTGAAAATAAAGTATAAATCAAATGATATTGACTTGGTATAGGTGGAACGCAAGAGAGGTGGGTGATGGGTGATGGATATTTCAACTTTTCAAGTAGTTTGTGGTTAGATAGAAAAGAGAGGGAAGACGTAATAAAAATGCATAGGGACATTTACAGAGCGGGAGTGGAGGGTGGAGGGGAGTCCAGCCCATCTCCATGGCTGGAGCAGTGGAGCTGCAGGGCATGGCGTGATGATCAAGTTGAATTAATTAGGTAAGTGCAGTGGTGAGAAGGATAGGACCAAGCAACCGAGGGCGAGCGGAGGGGGACTTGGGCTTACAAAATATGAAAGAGATAAAACGTCAACATCTTGCACTGTTCAGTCTGGGACCCTATAACACATATACACACGCACACACTCGTCAATTAGCAAATAATACAACCAAAATATACTATACTCTCCACGAGACGAAAGGCAGACAAAATCTTCCCCCACTTGTTCCACCGCACACGAAAACCAAACAAGGATTGGGGAGGAGGAGTCAAGTTTGTTGTTTGGAAAGGGACATCGGTGCTTGGGGGGTGGGCCTCATCGATTAGATATGTTTGCGTCCAAACTCCAAACTTCAAAATCAATGTGTGGTGGTGGGTTTGATCGGAATTGAAAGCGAAGGCGAAGGCTAAAGGCCGCCCAGTTTTTGTGGTTCAATTTATATATATATATATATATATATATTATTTGTTTGTGTAAATGGGGTTTGGCTGCACATTTGAATCAATCCACACCAGACTGGCTCTGGCCTCTGGGCCTCTGGCTCGCTTATTTCGTACTAACAAACAGTTGCGTTGCTTTCTTTTCAATTACGCGTTTATGTGGTACAAGAAATTGATGCCTTTTTAATACTTGTGCAGCTATTCACTACAGACAGACTTAGAAAGAGAGATGATGATGATGAATTGATGACTACAACCCAGGCACCCAGCCGCTCACAGTAGATTGGTAGAACCATGAAATTGCGAGATGGATGATGAGCATTAAATTGGGGATGTACATGTACTAGATTGACAGTTTTTGCAGTCTATCTATCTAGCTAGCTAGAAAAGCTGCCAAATATCTCCTCCACATGTCATGTCATGTGCTCATCAATCATCAGTAGTTGGCTACAGCCAACACCAACGGGTAGTCCTGTTAATTAAAAACTTGTCCTACTTCACACACATACAGAGCTTAGTTGTCTGTGGCCCCAAGTTTGTCCATAGCCTTATTAGTTGATCCATGCATGGAAAAAGGTTAAAAAAGAGTTTATCAATTTATTAATGCAATTGTGATGGCTGTGCAGTGCCGAAAATGGGCTTTTGGGTTGTGACCCAGCTCCCTAGTGAGGATATGTAATAAAGATGGAGCAACTAGGGAATAGTCTATTGTATTGTCTGAATGTATGATGCATCGTTGCAAATAAGGATGCCAATGGATCGGGTTAAGTGGTAAATCCTCTTTCATCTGTGCTCGTAAGATTTGAGTTTTAGTTAATCTCGATTGATGGTTTTAGTTCAGGTTTTGTATAAAAAAAGAATAGATTAATAGTTAATTTATCTATAAAAAGTCTTAATTTGCTGAGAATAATATTGCTATTAATAAGATAGGCAGAATTGGATTCGGTAATCCGTTTCTTTTTGGTTGGGGACAGGGGTCGTGTTTGGGTTGGACTGACTTTAGATTGCCTTCAGTTTGAGCCAAATCTGTACTTAGCCCAACCCATTGACATCTTTAGTTGCAAGAAGTGCGGCAAAGGAGGCATTATTAATGCAAAAGAATGTCGTAGGGAAATCAAGACAATGATGCTGATAATTTGCATGCTTAATGATCATAATCAAGTAAGTGTGGACTAAAAAGGTATAAGTGAAAATAGTAAAAATGATTTAAGTGTCAATAATTTAACAATTGATATGACATTTAAATATAACAGAATGGTGTAACGATATGACTTTAAACAAAATAAAATGGTGAAACAGGATTCATTTATCTCACCCATATAATTGGATTAAGGCTTGAATGATGATAATAATAAAGTAGGGACCTCTGGTAGAGCAGGTATGAACTGGCAAGGACAAAAGATGAACACTATAAATTACAAAAACCATGTCAAACTGAAGGCATTCTCATCATTTGAGGTAGGGTAGCTCTCATTTTATGAGGGAAACATCTGCACGTCTCCTTACAGGTCTTTAATTAACAGCATCCACATCTTTTTCCCCCTTCTCTCTTGGCTTAAGTTCCTTAAAAAATTAAGACAACTTCAGATCTTTAAAATTCATATGATAGGTATTCTATCAATTGTTACATAATGCAACAGAAAAATTGGGTCTAGGGATAATTGAGTGTGAAAGGATTTTGGTACAAGAATTTGGAACCAATAGAGTAGGAGTGGGACGGAGAGAACTTTTATTAAATTGTAGGTATAACCACTTTTTCATGGTGGATGTTAAGACATGGGCATTCAAAAAAATTTGGCATGGGCATTCAAAAAAATTTGGCAAAAGCAAGGAGATGTGGACTTATCATTTACCGTTGAAGGCGATTGTACCTATTTTAAGGGGGAGTTCTTTATGTTTTTTTTTTTTAGATTTTGAGGGGNGGGGGGGGGAAGTTGGTCAATGGGATTTTGGTTCCCATTGGCCAAGAACCCCATGTTCTTTTTATGTTTTATGTGGGGATCAGAAAAAGTTTATTCTCTTAGGTATAATTTACACAGGAAAGTGATACCCATCTCTTAGTTGAGTAAATAACTTTTCCACATAGGGAGAAAGTTGGTCACTAAGATTTTGGTTTCCATTGACTAACAATCTCATGTTCTCTTTTCAGCTTTATGTGGGGATCAGGGAAAGTTTATTTTCCTCGGTATCACTTACCCAATAAAGTAATGCCCATTTCCTAGGTGGTTAAATAACTTTACCACATAAAAGGAAAATTACCAATACTTGAATGGGACAAAAATGCCCTTATAATAATGGATTTCTATGGCTAAAATGGTCATTGCCTTATTTATTTGGAAAATAAAAGAATATGGGTAAATACCTAGGTAAATAACTTACCGAAAAGCGAACGGAAGTATGGAACCAGATTGAAAGTGTTTTTTGAAAGTATCAAAAAAGTTTTTGTTTTGTTTTGTTTTATT